GTAGGTTATCGGCTATGGCGAATCGAATGAGCACATGTAGAGACATGTGCGACGTACTTTTTCCCATATGTAAGCGTTATTCCCACGGAAAAACCATAAAAAATCAATCAGTTTTTGATGTTGGGTGATTTTAAGATGATTTTTTTTCACTTGTTGCAAAAATCTTTGCACTAAATGTTTAATCAATTGTCGATCATTTATAACTGATTCGAGAGAATCAAAAGTACTCTACTCACATACAATTACTCACATCCTCGTGTGCTCTTCTTCGCTGTTATTTTCTTCATGCATATCTACTGTTCACATGCAGAATATACCAGACTCAGCAGTAACTAACTGAACTATAAAGTAATTAATTACTTTTATACACATATACAGTACAATTTACTTATAAGCTAATCAGATTAATTCGACTTTTCTTCTAAAGTTAGCTCGTATCGTGATGTCATTCTTTTTTTCTAACCTATGGTTCGGTTTATTAAAAGAAAATCCTTGAAGGAACCAAAAGCGAAATTTGTACAAAATGCTCTTGAAATATGAGCTGGAATAATATTATTTCCTACCCTGTAAGATCTGTGAACAGAGCGTTTTGTACAAATATCGCTTTTGGTTCCTTCAAGGATTTTCTTTTAATAAACCAAACCATAAGTCAGAAAAGAAATTAAACATAAGCATAGATGCGTTACTGCAATACATTTTGACATAATAGATTATACGATTGGAATGTATAGTTCCAAGTTTTGTTTTGTAACTGCAATTATTCACGTACAACCACATGATATGCTCTTGCCGACTCTGCAACTTTTGACGATGTAAAATGAATTCTGTGTCAGTTATACTGATGGATTAAATATATCACCATATTCCAGTATTCCAGATGAAGAAGACGTAATATTACCTCCTGGCACCACTTTTCGAATTTGTAAAGTCGATCATAGAGATACTAAAACATACATTTATTTATTTGTGGTACCCGAAGTTCGCATGGTTCTACGTGGGAGAACAAGAACAGGTAATAATTTAAATGATCTTGTTCTCCGATGAATAAATATTTACCCTTTCACTATTTATAGGAAAAAGTTCATTTGGAAACACGATATTAGGAAGAAAAGAGTTTAAAGCGCGTAAAGCTGCGAAATCTATTACTACAAAATGTGGAGTCAGCGATCGAATTTTGATAATAGAAGATTGGTGATTGTTGATACACCAGGATTTTTTGACGCAGAACTTGGTCCAGAAATAATAATACCCGAAATTTCCAGTTCCCATCAAATTGCAGCACCAGGTTCAGATCCTTTTCTAGTTGTTCTTATATTCGCCCGTTTCACGCCACAAGAAGCAGCAGCAGCAAAATGGATATCTGAAGTACTTGATGAGAGAGCTCTTGATTATTGTATTATTGTGTTCGCTGGTTTAGATGGCCTTAAAAGAGATAAAACAACTGTTGAAGAGTTTCTTCAAGATGCACCAACTTTCGTACAAAATCTGATAGAAAAATGTAAAGGTAGATATATTGATGTCGATAATACAGTAAGTGATGTGGAAAAAGAAGAAACAATCATGGTTTTATTAGATAAAATATCAACGATGATACAAAAAAATGGTGGACAATTCTATAACAACAAAAAGTTTATCCAAATAGCTGCTATATTGGACAAGTATTCAGGGTGGTTTGTTCCATTAAAACCCGATGGAACTGTCAATTTATGACCAGAAACAGAGAGAATTGTTGCCCATGGACTTGTTGCTAAATTAAGAACGATATTTAGTAGCGAGGACATTAATACATATGGTAGGGCCAGGACTCGGGTGTCACGGGGTAGGGGGAAAAGAGCTACCCTGCACATCTCTAGAATAAGCGTCACTTGTATATTCTAGGAGAAGAAATAACGCTATTAATTTACAAAAGATTGCAGGTTCAAAACTTCTAAACGATTCAGTTGTCATCGTCGTCATCTTCTTCTGGCATATCACTTAGTTTTAATTCGTGTTCGTGTCCCTTTTCTAGGCATCCTGCACACAAATCATATTCACGACATGTATCACAATAAAATCTGAGACCGACTATCGGTGACATTTCACAACCATCACCCAAGCAAGAGATCGTATATGAAAATATCTAGATATTTTATTGTGGCATTGGGCAATATCATTCCCAATATATCCAGATAACCCTATAAAAGTGACACCTGTACCTAGATATTTTATAGCAGGATTGTCTAATACCACAACAAAATAGATACTTCACAAGATTTCTTACTTGGGCATGTGGTAAAATCCAGAATCGGGTAAAATATTGGATTATTTAGCTGTATCGACTTCTTTATTGAGTTAACTAGCTTGGGTTGTCCAATACTCAATACTCTATACCGTCAATACCTTCCAAAAGCGGTACGGTTATACGACGCTGGAACATAAAAAGTTTCCACGGCTAAAATCTTCATCTACTCTATTTTGATCACACGAAATGTAAATAATATCGAATGGAAGCTTTGAAGCAACAGCGTCTTGGTATACTTTGGTTAGTTGTGATGCGAAAGAAAAACAATTTGAAAAGCACTGAGCAGAACTAAAGCAAAAGTCTGTCTGTCATCATTGTTGATGTGCGAAAGTAGAACGGAGCGCTCTTCCTGCTTCTCCTAGTAAAACAGAAGGAATTAATTAGTTTCCATACCATCTGTCTTCCTATTTAAATAAAAATGTGTTCTGTTCAAGAAAAATAACTTCTATCTACGTATATAAGACAACAAATAACGAGTAATAAGAGAAC